TCGAGTATCGAATATTTTACTTAGTATCGATATCGAGTTAAAAAGTTTAGCATCGTGACAACCCTACAAATAACATTCATTACTTTCAAAAACTAGCTTTGTTTTCAATCATCCCCTCTGGGATGTAACCTTAATTTTAAGTGCAATGAAGTTCCGACTTTGAATCCCATTTCACACAATAGGACTGTCTCCATCTGTTATTGACATCAGAAATCTTCTGATATCAGCCGCAAAAACAAATATTAGAATATATTGATCTTCCTCTAAAATCTCTGTCATAGAAACACTTTTCTTCCATCTACTTCTGATGATTATAAATGGGTAAACAGCTGTCATACCTGATGTCTTTTTCCATTCAGTTTAAGAAATATCAATTTAGCAAACCTTTTCTATCAATAAACACTATAAAATAAGCAATAAAAGTTTGTATGATTCATCTGGTGGTGTATTGGGTCACTATCGGTATTGGTCAATACTCAAGAATAGGGTTGGGAATTGATACGATTTTCACAATTTCGATTCCTTATTGATTCCCTTATCGATGCCGTTTAATGGAAAAGCATTACTGTTCATTTTTTGCAAATAAACTCATCTAAATAAACGAGCGTCACGTTTCTCTCGCTCCCTGAACTATGGAGCAACTTCGTAGCATGGTTCGTTACATCCATTGCAATAGCTAGAATCGCGTAAGAATTCCAGACACCGGTAGTTCTTATTAAACATGCTAGCTATGCAGGGCTGGATTAACGAGAAAGGCACACTCCCTTAATAACCCCAAAGAGAGGTAGGAAATTGGTTTATTTCCAGAAATAGTAAAAGATTTACTAGGTATCACATTAAGCACAGCCAGTGATTTAAAACTAGCTACTTACCACCAGAGTTGCCTTCCATGCTGGTCGTAACTTTAGCTTCTGTCTGGAAGGCAACAAAAACTTAGCATTCGTTAAAATGTATGCCATGTTGTTTGCGCAGGTGTTTCTGCATGTTGGAGGTATTTCCTCCCGCGGATGTAATTCCCACTTTGCAATAATTGCAAAGCGCCTTGTTGACATCTTTCTCTTCCTTAATAATGAAGCCAAACTTTAGATTGCTTTGACAGATGGGACGCCATTTTTTTTGCTTTGCTTTTCTAGACTTGCGCCTGGTCACGTCGTACTTGCTTACTGAATGCCATGTGCGTAACTTGCGTAAAAACGTGACGCAAGTCGTGCTGCCCTGCTAGGCTCTGGTCCTGCCTGGAATCGTTAAGAGAATCATTAAGCGAGCAGCCAAACGGTGCCATGGAATTGGAACACATGGTTCTGAACAGGAACCGGTTCTCGATTCCCATCCCTATTCGAAAAGGCAATATTTTTATCTATATTGCAAGAGGAAAAGTTATGTAAGGGCAAGCTACAAAAAACTGCGAAAATACAACAAAGTAAATGTTTTCAGCTGTCAACTAGTTGATGAGTTATGAGTAAGAACTAAAAGTGATGCAATGGAAGCCCAAAGAGTGGATTAATCCCCCAATCCGTATCTATATATTTTTAGTCATTTTATATAAATCTTTCCCATGTGTTGTAAAGTTTCTGACATCAGATATTAGATTCACCCTTAATAACCAAAGGGCTGCTTTCTGCTTTGCTTTAAGCAATTTTTTTTGTAACTACTGTTTTTGGACTCTGCAATGTGTCTGAACATTTTGAATGATATCTGCAAGTAACAATTATTTTGCAAAGTGATTATTCTGTCGATAATTTTTTCGATTAATTGATTAATAATCAAATAGCCTAAAGTTCCTTAAACAAGATTTTTTTAACCAAATTAAACCAGGTGAAACTAACTTTTCCTCTAGAGGAGTTCTGGATTCATATTGACAGACAAAAATGTTTTTTATATTTTAACTTCAAAATTTTTATATGCTCTAAGTGGGTCGCTTTGTCAACTAAAGGCATGTTTTACAGTCTCTACACTCCAGTGTACAATTGATCAATTACTAAATCAGTTGATGATTAATTCGATTAATTGTTTCAGCCCTAATATCAGCCTTTCATCTCAATATTATTACCGATACGTTCTTTTTTTATATTTGAAATAAGTCCCGGGTAAGAAAGGGTCTTAGTTCAAATGTAACCCTGTTCAAGGTAACCTTTTAAAATTAGGTCAGCCTTACCTCCAACCTTGTGTAGCTTGGCCTTTAGAGGTTAATGCTAAATCCTTTCCTCTGCCTACATTCCCCATAATGGGGTTCTGGACTGAAGTTCAGTTATAAGATACAGTAGAACTTTTCATTGGATATATTTTCTATCCATTAGGTGTCTATTTCCATTTATTTTATGATTCTGTTGCCCAGCTCTACATTGATACTAAACATCTGCATTTATTAGTCACAACTGGCTAAGAATAAGATGTCTTTTATTTTTATCAACTGCATAACCCATTTTTAGAAGGGCTTTATGGAACAGGGAACTATGTTTGTGTACGTTTTAGTTAAAATGGACACATCTTCACCACATCTGCTGCGCTTCAGAGTTTCAAACCAAAACATACCTACCATGTCCACTCTTTGTACCAAGCAGACGAAAATTTGGGCTAAAAACAGGATCAAGCAGGGTGGAAGTCCAGAGCGTTGTTTGTTCCTCTGCGAAAATACTGCGGTTATCTTGACCGTAAACGGGATTTGAGACGGAAGAGTGAGGAGAAAGCCAAATGTCTTCAACATGGGGATGTGATGCGTTGATCCAGAGGCAGTATTTATTGAAAATTAGTAGCTTCTATGTTGTTTTTGTTTCCATGACATTTCCAGGAACCCTTCCTTCAGCCAGCTGCCTGGCTTTAGCAGCAGCTGGCTGAAATAGACCCCCGTCTGCGTTTCCGAATGGAAAATATCTTCTAAACATGAAAAACGCTGGGCGACTGAGCGGGATACTGATTTAACTTTTAATTCGTGTCACAGTGCCTTCCTATTTATTCAGTGTCAATATTACAATAGACTGTCAAAGTTTTGCCTGAAACGCAACTAATTATAGCCATTTAATCCCAACATGAAGCTGCGCTGTCAACTAGTAAAGATGCATCAAACAGTGTTGATATATTTAGATTTCTCTTATCCAGTCTCTACTAAATCTGTGCCTTTTTTTTTTTCCCCCTCCAGGCGTACAAAGGGAGGAGGACAGGAAATTAAGGAGATACCTTGAAGGTCTCCGTCTATCCACATTTCAGCTGGAGCCAGAGAGGAGGCGGAGGAGGAGGAGGAGAGAAGGGAGCCGGGGAGCACGAGTCGTGCCTGCTTTTGGCAGCTGTTCCAGCAGCCACTTGGGTTCACTTTTCCCCCTCCTGCATTGCCTGTTTTTGGGCTTTTGTTTTTTGATGAACCAGTTCATATTTTTAACTTTGTGAGATTCAACTGCTGTAAAACAAAAGAACGGAAACCTAAGATCTTCAAGAGAGTTTTATTTTTTTGTTCCATCATTGATTTTCAAGATTCTTTTTGTTTAATTTTTTTTTATGTTTTACAACTTTATTCAGCTGTGAGTAGCAGGAGCTTCCATTCTCCAAACTATCAACGAAAGCCCTTCCTTCCTTAGATAGGACCTGATAACCTGGTATTCCTCAAGCACCTAAAACTGGCAGCTATTCTCTTCGTCTTTGTGTGTTTGGGGAGTTCTTCTGTGACCACAGCTTAAGCACCACTCAGCCTTCTAGTCACCTAAGCCTAACTAAAGCCAGCCAGCTCTAGCCTGGTCCAGCCCAGTCTAGCCTGCTCCGATTATTTGGACAGGGTAAGGAATCAGAGAGGACTTTGATTACTCTGCCATTCATCCTAATCCTAAATGTGTCTTATAAACTAATGTGTATCTGTTCCCCCCCTCAGATACTCAGTTCTGTTGGGACGTGAGGAATATGACTGCTGAGACTCTTAACTTCGGCCCAGAATGGTAAATAATTCACTCCTACTTTTATAGCAAAAGAGCTCAGTAACTTGCTTTAGAGTTTTGGAGGGAAGGATCTGTTTTGCTTTAAGAATTTTCTGAATCTGAATTAGTTTCAAGTCTGAAAAAGAAATATGATCGTGTTTGACACAAATTGATGAAGAGAAGTTTCGGAAGGAGATTTGAAGATTCTAGAGTTGCTTCTTGGTTTGTTTGTGCCAAATATCTCAGTCTATTACTGCAAAAAAAAAAAAAAAATCACATTAACTCGCATTAACACTACGACTCCTAGAAATCTGACCCTACTGGAGCCGTTTCTCAATATGTGTACATTTGCATTCTCATGTGCTCGTGTACTCATGAAACGTCATCCTCAGCTCTAGTACTGTTCCAATTCACAAAAACAAGAATGGACAAAGTCCCCGGATGTTGTTCTTGGCCCTCCCTATTTACTCAGCATGCATCAGAGCAGACGTGTTCATTCTGGAGATTGACAGTTGTGCCAGCGTGGCCTGTTTCGGTGGCGGGCTCTTTCAGTTCTGCGTTTTCAGTTGTCATGTCTTTTTTTTTTTGTGTTTGTTTTCTTTTGGTATTTTTTAATATTATTTTGTTTTAGGATCTTCTGCTTTTAGGCGTTTCTATTTTTTGGCTTTACTGTTTTTTGCTTTTTCTTGTTTTTGCATATTATAATTCGAATTTGAGGTGATTGTGGGTTGCGGTGGCTGCGGTAGGGTGCGGGCCGCCTGGGGTAACGGCAGCCTGTCTGCAGCAGCCCTCTCTTGGCATAGCCATGTGTGAAGTAATTTATGTGACTGTGTTAACTATTATTTCCCCACTAAATGAAGAAAAAGGATTTTTTTTTTTTTTGGGGCTTTTTATTACGGGTTGTTACGTTCTGGGTTCGGTTTTGTTCCAATTGACCCATATTTATGCTGGGTGCTCCTGTTCTCCCCAAGTCCAGACTTTCCTGTGCTCTTCTCAAGAACATACTTGGCAAGAACACGAGTCCGTACTCGCGTTCTAGTGAATTTGAAACGGCATCGAACTCCCATTGGCAGTCAATTTGACGGGTGACATTTTTCCCAATGGAATGTAACACTAGTGATGTCATCGACTGAAATGTTTCTAGTGTGCCTTATACATGTAAACTTATTGTGGATATGTAGACCTTAAAGCAGGTCTAATATAAATTTTTTTTTAAAGGCTCAGTTATGTTATTTGTTGTCAAAATTTTTATTAAACATTTTTTAATCACAATTTTGTTTACAGAAATGACAAACCCAATATGAGAGGTTTTACGTGCAGCGCTGAAGCCAAAAATGGCTCTTTTGCGACGGAGGGTTCAGTAACTTGCGGCCCTCTGGAGCACATTTCTTCAGTGTTGAAGCATTTCTAAAGCGTGATTCGCTGTTGGATTTCTTCATAGTCATTTTTCCGTGTTAGCCAAAGAGTTCCAGATATTTATCGGTAGAATTTTGGTTGGTTCGGCTTCATGTCCTCTCTACTTAACAATGCTAAATGCTTTTTTAAGTCTCTTCTGTTCCTGAATTAAAACTTTAAAGTGTGAACAAAATGTCAGAAAGTTCTGTCTGAGGTCATGCGTTGGATTTAACAAGGTTGGGATAAATCAACCATACCATGGTTTAGTCTTTTCTTAGGGCTCATTAGCAGCAGCTAGTCGACGTTTCTTCCGCTTCTCATCAACTGTAGTCCCTTTTCTGTTTGATGGTTGCAGCGCAACCTGATCCAACATCTTCATCCACATTTATTATCCCCAAATGCTGGGGTTTTTCCATGGTTTGTCATATCAGCCATTGGGAAGATTCGAGTAGAACCAGCCCATTGTCATTTGACTGTTGATCTGGACCTGTAGTACTATCGCTTGCTCTTGGCGTGATAAAGTCACTTTAAGTAATCAGCTCTGGCTGTGAAAGATATTTTGGTTTCAGCCAGTCCTATTTATTTCTGAGGTTAGAACTGAAGCACTTCCTGCTTTGACATTTTGACAGACCTGCTCACAATCAGGTTGACACACTCACAACAAATGTGCTGAATTGGTCTGCATTAAGGTGAACGCATGGAAGGACGTCCCGAAACGGGAAATTCAACCTGTTCAACATGTTAAAGTAGTAGTAGTGGATGAGGTTGTGTATGTATTAAATGCAGGGAGGATCTGCTTTGGTGCAACAGGTTGAAAGAAAATAAATGATGCCAAATATTATATTTACATCTTTTAAACTTTTTTAGTTCAGGGGGAAGCAGTGGAAGTTTTACACAGGTGTGCTATTCATTAAAAAAAAAGTGAAAAAAAAAGCACACAAAATAATCCACTGGACTTTTTTTGCCAAGTTTGAAGGTGTTTTGTTTCTCACCCAGGAGGCTTTTTCAATTCAAAATGTCAGAATTAGCGTTGTGTTAGTAGAGTAGTCCAAGCAAAGCCTTATTTTAGCTTAGAAAACATGCAGACTGGACAAAGTCCAGTCAGTGGATTGTTTTTAACTTTTTGTGGAATGACTATGACCTGGATGACTGAGAATCTTCACCAGCAGCTGTGCTGTTGCTCCTCTCCCTCTGGCTGCAGAAATGTGCTTCTCTGATTGGTTGATGTGGCTCGTCGAGCAGCAAAATGTAAGTTTTCCAACTCTAGAACCAGCTGCCTCAGATGCTCATGAGGCGCTGCCCCTGTTGCTTGAGACGTGCTGCAGGGCCTTTTGATGCGCATCAGCCATCTGATTTTAAACCTGCTTCTTCTGCTGCTCGAATCGCGTTCAGTGTGAACGTAGCATAAGGCAACATTTTCATCTGGTAAACGGTTCCCTAAGTATCCTCCCATACAGAGTTACCATTTGACTTTTTGGAAATTCATTCTCTTTATTTTAAACAGAAGACGTTATCTTGCTTAAATCAAACCTCACTGATTTTAGGAGTAAAATGCGGATGAAAGGGAAGAAATCTTTATCCCACATGTGCTCCTATGTTAATTTAAAATGCTAACACTGTAGAGCCATGTTTAACCAATTTTTTCCCATGCATTTAAAAAAATCTTGACATGTAAACCAGGCTTAAGATTCAGAAAAGGCAAACAGGGTTTAACCAATTCCATATTTAAAGCCTTCCCTCTGTAGAATCACTTTTCATGAATTACTAATAAACTGCTTAATGTTTTAAACTGTGCAGTTTATTTTAAAAGATTCTGGGGTATTTGCATAAAAACTGCTGGAACTATAAAGTAAACTGACAGATTTCAGTGTAGACGACCCATCTGCCCTATCTGACCACTCAAAACATTGAGTTTGTGATTGAGTTGCTGTTGTAATTATGGACTGACGGCATAATGAGTCTGAAGTGAAACTTATTTATTCTCCATCTCTGCTTTTTCTTCTCTCTGGATGTTTTGGTTCCTATTATAAGAGGACTGGAGGGGGGGTAGCCCTCCTCCTCCGTCGCCCTGTGACTTATATGTGCATTCTTGACGCTCTGCCAGCCTGTCAGAATCTTTCCCCTCCTACGCAGCTTTCTTCTCCCCTCCCTCCGTTAATCCAGCCACAAAGCTAGATCAGCACGCTCACCACAAACGACTGCCCGACCTGAATGTTTACAAGCCTACTTATGCCTTTTGGCTTTCCAGAGCTATTCGGCTCGTTTGAGGTTTTAGTTGGCAGCCCGTTAGGCGATATGTCGGTCGCTGTGGTAGAACTCAAACTGAAAACAATCTGCCTGCTAGGATTAGAGATTTACTGGAACCGGTATTAGGAATGATACGTTTAGATTATAATGTGCCAAAGGAATGCTGGTCGTTTTCTTTTTATCTGTCTTTTTTATTTAAGCAGAGTGTATAAGCATTAAGCAAAATACTAATTGTGTAAAACCCTTCAAGACTATGATTAGAGAAAGAATGTTAGAATATAAATACTATTTCAATTATTTTAAATAACTTTTATTTATAGATTTGTTGACTTTAGGTGCGTGTAATGTTTGCTTTATTATTGGGTGAATAAATGAGATGTGAAAAAGAAAATCTTTCTCTTTTCTTCTATCTGCCCACCCTTGTATTTTTGTTTCTATCCATCCATCTTTTCTTGAAATGATCTTAAAGAGCCACAGTAAAGTCAGGAATGTTCATATGAAAACATGTAAGCGTTTTTTGAGCTCTCCTCTTATTATGTAGCTGACTCACTGCCTTACTTCGATATGCTGAAAGCCACTGAGCAGCCCTTGGTGAAGCTTTTAGTTACCTTTTCCGCTCCTCACCTACCTCTACAGCTGCATCTGGTTTTGATAGGAGTCTGTTAATCAATGCGGCTCTCTGTGGAGGCTGTGAATGGAGCCATTGTTGAGCCCTGGAAGCTGGCCAACTAATAATGGCTTATTAAAATGAAATCTTCAGGTTGGAAAGCTACTATGTTATCCGCGTCGAGCAGAGTGTGTCCCTAGAAGCCTTTACAGCAGATAGATGGATTTACTGCAAATTAGTACAGGATGGATGGTGTGATTTGTCTTTTGAAGTGAAATTAAATTTGAATAACAAAGAAATTCAACTTGTTTTATTTATCTTTGTACAAAGCCAAATCCAGTTTCTTTCTTTAACCGTTATCAAAAGGCTCAGAGGCAATAGATTTCTCAATACATCTGTGCTTGTCTTTATTCAGGCTTCGTGCACTGTCCAGTGGGGGGAGTGTGACGTCTCCCCCTCCTTCCCCTGCCATGCCAAAGTACAAGCTGGCCGAGTATCGCTACGGCCGAGAGGAGATGTTAGCACTTTATATCAAAGACAACAAGGTAAAAATGTTGTACATCAATAGTTTACCCGCGTTGGTTGTTTCATTGCTGTTTATTTACTAGATTATAGATCTCTGCTGATTTATTTCTTCAGTTCTAATTGGATAAATTGTATCTTTAAAAACAAAACAAAGGGAATTCTGTTTGTTGGTCTTTGGGATTTTCTTTTGGACACAGTTTAAGTTTTGAAAGGTGTTTCTGTCCTCCCTAAGCACAGGCTGTTTTTCTATTCAGGTCCCAGAGGACATGCAGGATAAGGAGTTTGCTGCTATTTTGCAAGATGAGCCCATGCAGCCCCTGGCACTGGTGCCTCTCACCGAGGAGGAGCAGGTCTGTCTGTAGACACAGCCACACATGGTCTGACCACCGCAAACATTGGCACACTCCAGCCTTTTCACCCACACAGAGCCTCGCGTCCTAAGTGAGAGCTCACATTTCTCACATTCTTTTTGCTTTTCTCTTTCCGCTCTCTCTGCAGAGAAACTTCTCCATGTCCGTGAACAGCGCAGCAGTGCTGAGGCTCATGGGAAAGGGAGTGGCCAGTGCTGCTCCCACGGGAGTCGTCCGAGGACGAGGGGCCGCTAGAGGTGGTCGAGGTCAGGTCTCCTCTGAAGCTTTTATTTGTTTAAAAAGTGTTTTTTTTATGCATATGCTTATACTTTTCACAAAAGAAGTCGGTGCGTTTTAACAAAAATACCTAAGATTTTAGCTGCTGCCTGAAACTCATTAGCCTCATGAAGTTGTATTAGAAAGGTGCTGGAACTTTGCAAATTAAGAAGTTAAAAAAAACCCAGAAACCCCATGCAGAAGCTGGAGAAATATCAACTATGACATGTTGGATATTATTCATGAAGCTGCTTTATTAACTTAATAAATATTTCTTTACATTGCATGTTAGGCTTGACTGTAAATAAATGGAGGGAGATGTTTTAAAAAAAAAGGCAAAAACAAACAGCTTTGGCTTAAGAACACTTTTGCTAAAGCCAGCGAAGCCTCCAACATCAACAGCACTCCAGTC